AGGGCTCTAGGAGAGAAAGCCTCTGGGCATGAAACTTCCTGGTGGCATTTAGATGTTGTGGGGGGGGGACAGGAGTGTGCCATCAAGTCAGCCGCGTGGCGCCAGGTCTGTCTCTCAGCAGGACCGCCCCCGCCCCGGCTCTTCCTCCTGTGGGGGCGTGGCCACGGCCAGGACCTTAAGACGCATGCGCCACCCTCACCCAGGCAGCCCAGGAACCTGACACCCACGGGCGGTACACCGCGGCCCTGGGAGTAAGGCTTCTTCTCTTTCTGCGTTGAAAGAGAATGGATTTTCTCCTAAGGAGCAGCACTGACAGTCTCACGCACCACCACTTTTTAGGGAATTAAGAACCTAACAGCCAACGTGGTTTATTTCCAGATGAGGACCCAAGTTGGTAAAGAACCCATTTTTGCACTTTTGCTCTTCCCCAGATGAGTGGTCATTGCTGGTGAAATAAAGAGAAGAGTCCAGATGGAACTGCCTGGAAACATCACATCCTCTCCCTGATTCAGAGCTGGCTCACTGAACCCCCACCCATCACCTCACCCCCTTCTTCCTCCACTGCACTCACTTCTCAGGCTGCTCTGAAGCCGGGAAACTGCAAGTATAGAGCTCAGCCTTAGTAAGATGCCAGCACGTGTCGAGGGAAGGTGTTCTTCCCAACTGAAATGACAAAGTTTCAAGAAGAGAGGCATTTGGTCCAGCCTGGAATACGGATGTGATGCCTGGAGCTGCAGCACCTATTCTATGACCATAAGGCTGAAACCACACAATAAGGATGGTGGAGCAGGGAGAGGCTGGAGCCTGAGTACCTGAGAATGTCTAGAGCTGATGCACCAGCCCTGGACCACCTACCTCAGGACTCCCTGTTAGAGGAGCAGCAGCAGCAGCCATTTTCTCCTTTGAGCCCCTTGCATCCCAATGCTATTCTGAACTATCTTCTTTTGGGGGCTAATATCATGGCCCTCTGTGGTTGCTTCCATTTTCTTGGCATCATAAAGGCTGAGAAGAGAGGCTGAGTCTGTTCCCTGAGCAGGTTCCTGACGTCTTCTCAGCTTCTCCCCACCATCCTCAACCACTGGGTAACAATGGCAGAATTGCTAGGATCTGGTATTTGCAGAAAGCCCCCGACAGCCTCTACTGTCGGGCTGGAAGGTAGGACAGTGCCCCACAGGAACCCTGGGGTAGGCTTCCTCTGGTGATGGCTCCCCGGACAATGTCTGCTCTGTTCCTCCTGCCCATGGCAGGTCCTTTCAGGGAGATGCTGGGCACTAATGGTGGCCAGGAAGGGAGCCAGTCAAGGCCTTTAGGTTTATCTTAGAAGCAACATTTAAGGATCAGGGGACAGGCCTGGCTTTGGGACAGGCAATGTCATTCCCAGGGGTGACTGAGGACTTCAATGTGTGGAAGTGACCATGGTGGTCACTTCATAATTAAGTGGTGATGTCCTTAAATGTGTCAAATGAAAAGAGACCAAATGGGAGAGTGGGCAGAAAGGAAGAGGAAGAGCAGAGGACAGGGGAGGGGGGAGGGAATGAGGGTGAGGAAGGGGAGGAGAAAGCATTCATTTCCAGGGGGATGGGTGTTATTGTACCGGCAACAGATAAGGGGACAGGCTGGGAGGGCACATGGCGCCCCTCGGGCAACGCGGTGAGGACACGGCAGCACCCAGGCCCAACACCATCACGCTCCTATGACATGTGCTTGCTGGGCCACACCAGCGACATGCCAGCCACCCACCAGCAACATCCCTGCATCAGCCCAGCACTTCTGCTCAGGTCTATCTGTCTGTTCTTCCCAATTAGAGTAATTGCTCCCCTGCTGAATGGAGCTCGTGACTGCTCGGGAAACATCCTGCCTTGTATAGTATGTGGCTTGATGGGGGTGCCTGTCTCCCCTACAAGGTGGTAAGGGCCCCAAGGCAAGGACACTGTCATCTTTGGGTCCCCAAACCTGGATGCAACAGGTGCTTCACTGAATGGGCCCTTGGCCGCCCAAACAAATACTGCATGCAGGACCACTGGACTTCAGGCCAGTGGGAGGAGCAGGAAGCAGGGTTGCACCTACCAGTACCCACCAGCTCAGTGAGGGTGGCACAGGGGATGTGTCGGTAGCAGTACTTAAAGCCTCAAAGTCTGCAGAGCATTTGTATTCTTTCCCAATGTGTGAGGGCCTGACGTGTAGCACAGAGGTTACCCAGCCAGTGGGAGCCGCTTACACGTGCTTTGCTTCTGCTTGTGCGATGTTCGTGAGGACTGAACGGGTCAATGTGCAGCCCTGCATATTGGTCATGTGAGGGCTGAGGAGGCAGGGACCACACTGCTATTAGGAGCAAGCCAGCAGGTGGAGCTGCAGGAGCCCACGACACAGCTGCTCAGAACCCACACTGGGACCAGAATCCACTTATGGGAAAAAAGTCTTTAGAGGTGAAACCACCTGCACCTCTGCAACACTCCCTTGCTAGGCGGTAACCCCTCCACATTTGTCCTTTTATTGAAGAGCACCTTCATATTGGCCTTGAAAGCATCCATAAGCAGTATCTGGAAGGCCTGAAAGAAAGCTCAGTGCCTCTGTGAGGAGGGAGCTGGGCTCTGAAGGCCCTGCTCAGCAATTGGAGATGCCAGCCCTGGGACTTTGATCTCTCCCTGACCACAGAGTCTCTGGGAGACTGGATGAGAGGCCCCGCACCTGGCCTGGATCCCTGGTCCTGAGAAGGGCCCTCTTTTTAAAATTTTCTAAATGAAACACAGCCAATTTTATTCAGATTCTCCAAAATTTATACTCGATATGTTAATTGTTTCTAAAATGTTTCACCTTTAAATCATGGATTTATTATTTCACCTTTCTTTTAGAGTTTTTTTTCATTTTTTTCTGTACAGCTCTTCTATAGAAGCCAAAGTCCTGAGCTGCCCAGTTAGGAGCCTCTGACCTACTATCCTGATTAAGTTTCTTCTTAATATTCATGGCCAACATCTGGCTTCTAAATGAAAGGCTTTTGGTCTTTTCAATCACTTGCTGATAGGGTGAGGCTGCAGAGAAAGGGCCCTCCTGTCTCTCAAAAGCCACGGTGAGCTTTGAGAAGAGCTGGAAGCCATGAGGGAGGTGCCAGCTCTCACTGGCCAACACGCAGAGAGACAACAGAAAAGGCAAATGGCACCTAGGCCTTAATGACGAAACATGTCTTCCTATGGCTAAAGTGAGATGTCTGTAAATAGCACAGGAAAAGGACGTGATAGTCCCCTTACAGCCAGTGGCAGCCCTGCTCCCTCTCCTTCTGGACTCACATCACCACAGGATGAGCCACCATGGATTTCCTGGGACCACATCCTATGGCAGGGACCCTGAAACTGGTCAGTCTTTCCTTCTTTTAGTATCCTGGGAGTTCTCTGTCTAACCAGACACAGAAGTGAAAAAGGAAGAGCTTCCCTTTATTTGCTCAGTTAGTCACCCATCCATCAGCAGTTAACATTCCAAACAAAATCCCGCCATTTCCACAGCAGACACATATTGCATTGACTGAAGACAGGCCCCACATGAGTCTATGTGACTGGTGGTTGGAGTTGTGCAGTGCACAGCCTGTGGGCCCAGCCCGGCAAGCCTCTCTGCAGCACTGAAATGGCTCCTGGCAGGAAACTCCCATGTAATGAATTGAATGGAAAAATCCATCTTTTGATTCAAAAGCTTACTTTAGAGCAGAGGCTGGCAAACATTTTCCGTAAAGCGCTCATTAGTAAATATTTTAGTCTTTGCAGGCCACACAGCCTCTGGGGTTGCTTCTCAACTCTGCTGTTAGGGCACAAAAGCAGTAGCCACAGACAATACGTCTTTGAACAAGTGTGGCTGTGTTCCGATAAAACTTTATTTACAAACAGGCAGTGGGCTGTAATTTGCTGACTCTCTGCACTAGATGGGCTTTTAATTATTTATTTATTTGTTTGTTTATTAAGTGTAAGTTTATTACTAGTCCAGAGTTTTAGTATTTTGATCATCTGGTTGGTCTAACAAAGTAGACGGGCTTTTAAAAATTACATCTGAGGGCTTCCCCGGTGGCACAGTGGTTGAGAGTCCTCCTGCTGATGCAGGGGACACAGGTTCGTGCCCCGGTCCGGGAAGATCCCACATGTCGCGGAGCGGCTGGGCCCATGAGCCACGGCCGCTGAGCCTGCGCGTCTGGAGCCTGTGCTCCGCAACAGGAGAGGCCACAACAGTGAGAGAGGCCCGCGTACCGCAAAAAAAAAAAGAAAAAAAAATTACATCTGAGATTAATTACATCCATATAGTATATGCGTACATGTGAAAGGGAACCACAGTGAAAGTTATTTAAGGGTGGCTTGATTATTAATTTGCTTCATAATTTAAATTAAAAGTTGTCTGTGGCATTATTTTCTTTTTTTAAAAACGGAAGTATAATTGATTTACAATGTTGTGTTAGTTTCAGGTGTACAAGCAAAGTGATTCAGTTATACATATATACGTATATATTCTTTTTCAGATTCTTTTTCCTTAGAGGTTATTAGAAAATATTGAGTATAGTGCTGTATAGTAGTTTCTTGTTATTCATCTATTTTATATATAATAGTGTGTATATGTTAATCCCAAACTCCTAATTTTTCCCTCCTCCCCTTTCCCCTTTGGTGACCATAAGTTTGTTTTCAGTCTGAGTCTGTTTCTGTTTTGTAAATAAGTTCATTTGTATCGTTTTTTTTAGATCCCACGTATAAGTGATATCGTATGATATTTGTCTTTGTCTGACATCACTTACTATAATAATCTAAGTTTCTTAGTATGATAATCTATGATAACGATAATCTAAGTCCATTCCATCCATGATGCTGCAAATGGCATTATTTTCAATGATATTTTTTTGCATGCATATGGTAGTTTTAGGCAAAACCTATCATTGCTGAGTGCGCTTCCCAGGGAGGTCTCCATATTCCGCCTCCTGCCCCTCCCGGCCCACCCCTTCCCCACCTTGCACTGTTAGGTGGTGGCGGGCGTACCTTGTTCTCTCTGCTGGTCTCTCTGCTCCATGGACACAAGGGCAGAGAAATGCGCTTGGTCGTAGGCAAGAACCAGAGGTGAGCAGTGGCATCTGTTGGGAGGCACCTCCAAGGGCAGGTAAATCCCTCCGAAGGGGATTGGAGCAAATGCTGCAGACACAAACAAGGGTGAGGGCATGTGGATCTGGAGGGGGCGTGGACAGCATCCCTCACCATCCTGGGGGAGGTGACAGGGCGGAGGGAAGGGAGGGCGGGCTCAGGCTGCAGCCCCGGGCGTTGTCATCTGTCACCTACTCCACAGCAGAGGGGCCTCCACCCACCTGGCAGGAGCTCCCTGGGAGCTAGGTGATGCTTGCCACCGATGGATAGGGAAGCCCAGGCTCGCAGGGGCCAGGCCCATTAGACCCCAAGTCCTGTACCTGACCAGGGCACCCTGCTCCACCTGCCTCCTTGGGCAGAGTCCTCCTGGCTCGTTTGTCCCTGCGACCTGTCAAGCTGCACCCTAGGAACAAGCAGGGCTGAGGGGATTCTGCTGTGACCTGCCGGGCCTGCCTGCTGCCCTGAGTCTGGCCAAGGTGATCAAAACGCCCACCCCAGATGGTCAGCCAGGACGTGTGCTGATGGCCACCTAGAAACCCGTGTTTTCCTGAATGTACTTATTCCTCTCCTGTGTTCACAAAAGCATCTGCATACAGAACAACGTATGTGCTGCGTGAGAGCTTATTTGTTCTAGGTTTTGAGAAGCTCAGTGAGAGCACTCCAGGCCCAAGTCGTGAGTCAGATGGGAAATGAAGGACGGGGATCAGCTCCTTTAGCAACCGGGACACAGTCTTGTTCATTTCCTTACCAAAAGGGGGAAAAAGCCTAAATCCTCACTGAAATACGGTAACTACTGGAAATACCTGCCCTGACACGGCATCTGTTTTTTAATTACAAAGAACCTTGCCTCTTGGCCTCAGACTCAGTGACTCACTGCCCTTCTGTGGAAGGAAAAGACAGTCGACATCAGGGTTGTCTTTGATGAGCTCAGGATTCCTCCCCACCCTTGCTTTGTCTATATCAGTGACCATGGTTCTGCCCCCCTCTCTGCTGAGAGGCAGGGTGGGTCCGCCTTTGAGAGGGCTGCACCCTCCAGGACAGGTGCAAAGGAAGGAAGTGTGGACCCAGCTCTGTGGGATCTGATGAGTACAGGGACCCCGATGGGAGGCCGGGCTCTGCACCCAGAGAGCTGCAGACCCCGGCAGGCCTGTGTCACTGGGAGTGACCAAGGTACTCCCAGCTCCCTGCCTTCTGTGGTAACCACAGCCACGAGAGGCAGGACACTTACACTAGGGTGACCTTCCTGGTCCATCCACCATCCTGGCCCCTCCTGTGTCCCTCCTTTTCAGAGAGCATGGTGCCCTGTGGGCTCCAGCAGAAAGGCTAGAGGGAGGACACACGTGGAGCCCTCCCTGCCTGGGTTGACCCTGCTTCCTCAAGGCTTCAGCTGAAGGCGGGGGCACATTGTGTGGCCTCTCTGAGCTTCGGGCTCCTCGTCTGTAAAGCGGGAGGCAGTGTCTACCCTGGGAGGTAGTGGCCTGGCAGAGGGAGAGGGTGCACGTGATTGGCAGTGCAGCGGGTACCGGCCTTGGGAAGTCCTCCATCCCTTCCTCCTTCTCCCCCAGCCCTGGTCCCATCACAGCCTTGCGGATGACTTTGCATTTTCTGCCTTTCTTGTTTCTTCTTTAAGACACATGCGAGGGGCAGGAGGGGACTGGAGTGGCTGAGTGGCCAAGTGGCCCTGGGATGAGGCCGGCACTGCTGGAGGGTGTGGGCAACAGGTGGGCCCGGAGCCCCTCGGGGTTCATCCCCACCCCCACTCAGCCACATTTCTCCTGCCGTGGACACACAGGGTGGATGGACGGCCAAGAGTAATCTCTCCTGGGAATTCCCTGGCTGTCCAGTGGTTAGGACTCTGCACTTTCACTGCTGAGGGCCCGGGTCCAATCCCTGGTCGGGGAACTAAGATCCCACAAGCCGTGTGGCACGGCCAAAAAAATATATAAAAAAAATAAAAAAGAGTAATCCCTTCTCTACTGGGAGGAGCCAGAAACATGTGGAGTCGAGGAGAAAAGAGGAGAAATAAGACCTTTGTCCAGGCAGAGTAAGGCTCTGTGTCCTTCTGGAGGCTCAGCCATTACGTTGGACTGTCCCTTCCTTACTCGGGATGTTACGCTTTCTGGGTGATGAATAAAATACATCTGTTTCATTATGAGTAAACTTACCTTCCCCGCCTGAGTCCCTCAGCATCGTATCTGCTACAACGACGATGGGCCTCCTTAATATGTGGGCAAGGACGAAAACGTGGAACTCCTCCAGACTCTCGTACACAGGGTCCTCGGCGTTGTCCATGCTGGGGACACAGTGAAGCAAGCCTGTCACTGGAGCGAGTCGGGACAGGGAGTGGAGGACAAAACACCTCCCTGTGGCCCTTCCCTGCGTGGACCCTGGCCGTCGCGGCTAGCTGAGGCCACGGCCCCCCTCCACGCCACTCGATATTGGCAAGCACACTGAACCCAGCTCTCCACCCTGACCCTGGGGTGGGTGGTCTCAGGAGAGAAGCCGAAGCAGAGAACCTGGCAACGTGGGCAGCCAGCTCCCTTTAAGATGCAGTCTCCCTGGGGGCAGAGGCGCCCAGAGTGTGTGACAACATGGGGGCTGGTTCTCTGGGCGGGTTGACGAGGATGCAGTTGGGGCAAGAGGCATGGAGGTTCCCCCTTGGGTTCATGCTCACAACCAGCAGCTTAGGCTGAAGCTTTACCCTCAGGGGGTCAGGTGTGCCTGGGCACGTCTGATGGGCCGGTGGGTCCACTGCTACCAAGGTCTGTGGGCCTTTCTAGGGGATACCCCGACTGAAGATGGTGGTAAGAAGGCTGCCTTGAGTGGTAGTGGAGGGAGTGACAGAAGGCCCAACCCAGGCCACTCGGACCCTCCCCAGCCATCCCCTGGCTCTACTCTGAGGCTCAGGGGAAGAGTGGGCTCCAAAACCTGCATCACTCATGACTCTAGGACATGGGCAGAGAACTGTAGCCTTGATGTCTCTCAACAACCAGGCCAGTCCAAAGGGAAGAAGCATGGAGAGAGGAAGGTCAGTGCCCCGAGGTTGATGGGGCCTCTTGGGCACTCGAATGGGGCGGGGCACCCAGAATTAACTGAGGGTGGTCTCTAAGCAGGTGGGGCAGAGTTAGCAAGTGTGGCCCTGCTTGAGAATTCTGGGGTGGGGTGGCCTGGGGAAAGGGTTCTATGTACATAGCCTGCAGCAAACTGCTTGTGTGGCTTCTAAAACAAAGGCTCTGAATCCTTGGGGATGCCTCATAATCACCTGGGGAGTTTTGTTGTTATTGTACCAATAGTTTTTTCTTGTTCTTTTTTTGGTGACTCAATATAACTTATTTTAAGACTTAAAAAAAAATGGGAGCACCTAAAAGCTCACAAAAAATTTGCAGAGTAAAAGTAGCTTTTTTGTCCTTCTGAACCATTTGAAAGTAAATTGCCAACCTGAAATCCCATCACCCGGCAGAACTTCGTGTGTATTTCCTGTGAGTGGGGTTACGTTCCTGCAGATATATTCTCCTGCATCACCATCAGAACTGGGAATTCGTCTAATCACGAAGGCAACAATGCATCTGTCACCGTGAAAGACCCCAGTCACCACGTGCCATCTGCCCCAGTTCTGGATGGTGTACTGCATTCAGCTGTGGTGTCTCTTTAGCCGTCCTCAGTCTGGAACATTCCTCAGGGTACTTGACATTCAAGACCTAGGCCGTTTTGAAGACCACAGACCCAGTATTGTGTAGAATGTCCATGGTCTGGGTGTGTGTTTCCTCACAATCAGAGCAGATTGGGTCACACTGCATCCTTCTCGTGGTGTCCAGTTGGGTGGATCTCTCTCGTGGCCGTCAGCCAGGCTCCCCCTTGCAGAGCTGCTCCCTTCCTCTCCGTAATTAATAAGCATTTTATGGGGAGGAACTTGGAATCTACAGACATATTCCACTCCTCACCAAGCCTTGATACATTTACTGATTCCAGGCTTCTATTTGATTCACTGTGTTATAATCCATCCATGTGATTATTTTGATGCTCAGATACCCGCCCTAGTCAGTGGGGCTTGTTCAAGTGGAATCTGTGTCTGTGTGACAGTCCCCGTCATTTTTTAGAGCACATCCTTGCTTTCCAGCACAAGAAGATGGTCAAGGTTGTGAACCAAAAACTCCGTCTGCCATTTCAGTAAACAAAGGCTGTTGCAGCCATCAGCCACTACAGGTGCCCTGACGGTGAGCCCTGAAGGAACTCAGGATGGAAGCAGGATGGCCCCCCCCCCCCCGCATCTAACAGTCAGCTGTAGCAGCCACCCCCGACGGTGCACACTGAGGGGACTCAGGATGAAAAAACACAGGATACTGGCCCCAGAGAGCTGAGGTACATATCGATAGGAATGATTTCAGTGAGCCCAGACTCTTGCATCTTCCATACACAGAAAAGCACTAAATTCCTTAACTTGAGATGTCTGGTTTTCTTTAATTAATAGTAATCTTTTGATGTTCTAACTACCCGGTATTTGTTACAAAAATGCCTATGTATCCTGGTTCCCCTCCTTACCTCTTTGGAGCAGTCCCTCAGAGCCACCTGACAGTCTGTGTCCCTGGCCTAAGTCCTCAGTTCTATCCATCGAATAAAACATAACTCTCAACTTTTAGGTTGTGTATTTTTTTTTCAGTCAACAAGATTCATCTTGTATCTCTTCTGCTTCAGCCCTGGATTCAGCCATTTCTCCTGGTTTTTTTTGTTTTTATTTTTAAGATAGTGGATAATGGTGTTTAGAAGCCAAAATATGATTATCGCTGATGTCATTGCTCCTAGACTCAGTAAGTAGAGCTGGGGAACGCGTGTGTGTGTGCGTGTGTACACACCCACATGTGTACACAGACATTTTCATCTGTCATCTATCTATCCATCCATCTATTATCTATCTACCTATCATCTATCTATCTGAAACTTTGAGTCCCCTGATACTCCCAATTCCAATCTAACACCCCAGAGTTCATTCTACTTGTAACTCCTTTCTCCGAAAGTGAGAAACCTGGTTTCTACCAATCTTAAGCTATTTCCTTATTTGATCCTGGTATGTAAACAGCCCCCAACCAATGCTGCTTCCCTTCCCCTGAGTTGCCCTCTTCACTCTGTCTGGCTCTGACACCCTGACCTTGGTCTCTGTGTCCTACCACCCCCCACTCTGCCCACTGCAGGTGCCCACCTTGCTTTGATGAACCTATGGATTTAGGACTGAATTTTTCAGGGAGGGAAGGGAAGTGGAAGAAGAGTGTGTTAAATACATACACACAGGCTGGGTCTAACACAATGCTCTTGGGCGTGCATTTCCAAACATCCTGGGTAGTTATCCTGTCCAGCCACAGCTCAGAGGGTATGTGAGGTCAAGGGCTCTGAGCGGGTGCTCACTCACCCCTGTCACACGGTGAGAGCTCACAGGCAGGCGTATGGCTGAACGAGACAAGCAGCAGCACGGAGAAGACAGAACACAGACTTACAGTCTGCGTACTCAAGAGAAAAATACCTGACCAGCTACGCAGAGGGGACCCGCAACAACCACGGTGCAACGTCTGACTAAGTATTAGGCACCACTGTAGTGGCGTGGCTTTCTGCTCATGCAAAACTCAAAGCAGGGCCATTGTATTTCAAACTGAAAAAACAGCACATATTTATTGAGTACTTGCTACAAGCTGGCACCATGAAAGGCACTGCAGAGGCCCCCAGGTAACATCTGTCCATCCAGCCATCTTTTATCCCTCCATCCACTCATCCACCCACCATCCATCTGTTCACCTGTCCAGCCATTCATCCAATCATCCATTTGTCTATTCACCCATCCATCCATCCATCTACCCATATATCCATCCATCCAATCATCCATTTGTCCATCAATTCACCTATCTACCCATCCACCCATCCATTTATCCATCCATCCACCCATCCATTTGTCCATCCATTTGTCCATCCATCCATCCATCCATCCACCCATCCACCTGTTCACCTGTCTGTCCATCCATCCCAGATCTGTGCTAGGGCTGAAGCATGCAGTTTCACCATATACATCTGGAGGCCTCATGGCCAGACATGGGCAGCAGTGATGGGGGTATAGGCCCAACTGGGAAGGGGTTATGGAGATGAGCCTGGAGCAGAGCGACCTTTCTTCACTCCTGTTTTGGTGTTGAACATGAGAGCCAAAAGTCAACTGTGATTCTGCTCAGTGGCCCAGGAGGTTGCAGAGAGGGTCCCAGCTCTACCCTGGGCGTAGCTGGAGAATCCCAATATCCTTCCTTACTTGCTCCAGCTCCTTGCTCCCAGGGTGCAGGGAGCAAATTTGAACTGGGGGTGGGTCCTGGTTCTGTGCTTTCCCTTCAAAACCATGGCCATGCCCTTGTGCTTCAAAAGCCTCAGTGACTATTCCTGTTCATTAAACGCAGGCTGGAACATTGGCTCGACAACTCCTCAGGCTCCTCTGAGGGGCAAATGGGCTCATGACTGGGACGACACTTTGGAACAGTGACCTGCGCATGTGAGTTACTGTGATGGAGCCCGTTGGTAGAAATCAGCTCCAGCAAAACCAGTCCTGAATATTAACGTCCACTTCTCATCCCAAGGCTTCACATCATCTTCCTGTGAGCTTACTGAGCAAATGCTAGATGCGGGATTGTAAATAGGATCTCGCCTCTGGGAAAAAACACTTAAAAATCCCTAAAATACAACACCTAGTTGGTGTTGACTGTTAAGAAAACTAACAAGCAATATAACTGCTTCATCCTCACATCTGGGCGTGTCTGAGAGCTTCCTCACATGCTCTAGGCCACAGCACACCTGTTCCCTCTTCTTCAGTGTGTACCTGGGGAGGGGGAATCAGGAGCATAGGGATACCCCACCCACCCAGTGAAAACCCCCTGAGGAAGACAAGGGGTGACCTGGACAGAGGCTGGGCCAGACCCCGCCCCCTCCTGGTGGGACCAAGAAGCAAGAGCGGTGGAGTGAGGTCCAGATGGCATGGAAGTCGGTGGCAGGAATGAAAAGGCACAGTGCAGATTAGGGGGTGTCCTGGCTTAAACGGCAGCCACAGCCTTAGAGGTCACCCCAGCAAGAGCCCATGTCATGGACAAGGAAGCCAGTCTGGGCAGCCGGTGGGGTCTTGCCCAAGGGCAGTCACCCGGCCGCACAGAGGCACAGCTTGGGTGCAGGCCCCCCAGGACACTTCCCCTGTCCCCCTCCCCAAGGTGAGGTGACCACACCTCCTGTTTTGCTTAGGAAAGTCCTGCTTTATGGGTCACCAATGTCCAGTGGCCACTC